TTCAGATGAGAATGAGGGAGGAGAGAAAAGCCCCGAAAGGGAACGGAAGTGAATCTTTGCCCTCCAGGTTAATTGGAATATGTGAATCATGACCCCAAAATGGGGAAGGGGAAATGCCTGGAATGTTATGTGCAAAGGAAGGGAAATTCAGATCTTGGCATCCATCATGCCGTGCTGACACGCCTCTATACTAATTGTTGAGTCCGTGGCGGGAAACAGACACGAGAAGCAGCTGGAGTTCTCAGTTTCTTTTATTCAGCGTTCAGCTTACAGGAAGATGGCTTCAGCCTCGCCCAAACGCCTCGCAGCCTCTTATATAGGCAACTCCCGGGTAAATGGGTTACTTTTTCCCGCGCCAGCACCCGCGCATGCGCACGGCGCTGGCGACAGCCTGTCTGGTCCCGGGCAGCTTTGCACCTGCCCGGGACTGCCTGCAAACGCCCGAGCCGTTTGCAAAGGCTCGGGACATAACACCCCTTTCCCCCGGGCTAAAACTACTACCAACATACAACATTTATTTTATACGACAATTTGCTCCCCAGTGTTCCCACTGTTTACTGGCTTTTGCCTTGCCAGCAATGTTATGTAATCTTCTAGGTACTTAGGAGATTTCTTTGCTCTCTGTGACCTTCTTAGCTCTGGGTTACTGGCATAAGTCCCCTGACTGGAGGGAGGCGTGAGCCTGTTCTCTCTATTGTGCCCTGGTGTCTTCCAAGGACTGTGCCCCGATGCCTGGCCTGCTTGCTTGCCCACTGGGCTCGTCAGGCCAGGGCTTCTGTTGCTTTGTGACCTGGTTGTCCTACCTAGCTGTAGACCCTCAGGCCCCTTGAAGTGATAGCCACTGCTGGGCGTCTCTGTAGAACTTCCTAGGTCAGTCCAAGACCTGTCAGGAGGCTGTCCATTCCCTGAACCCCATTCTGTGCTCGGGCTCGTGTGGGTTTCTGTACTTTCCCAAAACTCAGGTGTTCCCTGATTTGTGCTAGAGGTGTTGTAGTCGGGACTTGGTTCCTCGACTATCTCTGTGTATGTTTGACCCCCTGTAGGATTTGGGGTAAGGTCAGGCCAACCTTGGGAATTGTGTGCCAGCTCTCTTGCGGGGAATGATGTGGGGAGTCTGCTTACGTGTGGTAAACAGTCCCAGCAGAGGCTTATGGTCAGTGAAGACCGTGAAATGCCTGCCATATAGGAAATCGTGGAATTTTTTAATTCCAGCAACAACAGCCAGAGCCTCCCTGTCGATCTGAGCGTAGTTGCGCTCGGCAGAAGACAGTGTTCTGGAGTAGTATGCAATAGGAACCTGAGTTCCATCAGACCTGAGGTGACTCAGGACAGCTCCAACCCCGTAGGGGGACGCATCACAAGCGATGCACACAGGAAAGACTCGTTGAAATGTGCAAGAACACTGTTAGAAGTGAGCAAGGCCTTGACTTCTTTAAAGCAAGCCTCATGTGCTTGTGACCACAGCCACACAGCTTGTTTGTCTAGTAGCCTGTGAAGAGGCTCAGCTACACTAGCTTTATGTGGAAGAAAAGAATTGTAGAAATTCAGGAGGCCTAAGAAGGCCTGAAGTTCGGCCTTAGACTTTGGCCTGGGTGCTTCTAAAATAGCAGTTAGTTTGGATTCAGCAGGATGAATCCCAGCAGCATCAATTTTGAATCCCAGAAATTCAGTAGAAGGCACCCCAATCTTGCATTTGTCTTTTCTGAGCTTGAGGCCTGATTTCCTGAATCTTAACAGGACAGCCCTAAGCCTTTCAGCTAGAATGTGTGTGGAGTCTCCTGCAATCAAGACATCGTCAAAGTAGGGGCAGACCCCTGGTATACCTCGTAGTGTGTTTTCCATTACGCTTTGGAAAATCCCAGGAGCGACATTCACTCCAAACTGTAGCCTTTTTACCTTAAAGGCTCCCCTGTGGGTCACAATGGTCTGAGCTATGCAGCATCATCATCAACAGGCAGCTGTTGATATGCTTGAGCTAGGTCAAGCTTTGCAAAAACACGCCCCCCCTTGAGAGAGGCCAGGATGTGACTGACCACAGGAACAGGATAGGCATGTTGCTGCAATGCCTTATTGAGTGTGCATTTGTAATCAGCACAAATGCGAATGTCCCCATTTGCCTTTAGAGGCGTGACAATGGGGGTCTCCCACGGGCTGGAATCAACAGGTTCTAGGATTCCCTGTTGGATTAGTTTGTCTAATTCAGTGTCAATCTTACTTTTTAAAGCAAAAGGGACCCTTCTTGCTTTAATCCTAATGGGAGTGACAGTGGGGTCTAGCTTTAAGGACACAGGTGGTCCTTTGAATGTGCCCAGCTGGGGGCTGAAAACATCTGCAAATTCTTTGCAGACTTCCTGTAGGTCGAGTGTTTGTAAGCTGTTGAGTCCTGTGACGTGTATCCCCAGGGCCTCAAACCAATCGAGTCCTATGAGACTCGTTCGTTCACCCCCTACTACTAATAAGTCTAGTGGACCTTCAAAACTCTTGTATTGCACGTTAAGGGTGGCCTCCCCCTTAACACACACTCTTGAGTTCTGAAAATCTGTTAATACAATATCAGAAGGCCTTAACTTGGCCTTAGTCCCACTACTGGAACAAATCTTCCTAAATGTATGCAATGAAATGATGGAAAGGGCAGACCCTGTGTCTAGTTCCATAGATAATGGAACCCCTTGTAGCTTCACGTTGAGTGACAGCTTTTTCTTCATGGGCTTGTGTGTGCCTGTCCTACAGATGCTTCTTCGCGAAGCGCAAAAACCTACCCTATTCTGGCTGGGGAGGTACTGGTACCCTTCAGGCGTTCTTCTTGGGGTTGTGCCTTTCGTCGGCCCAGACACACAGCTGCAATGTGCCCTTGTTTGCCGCATGCCCGGCAGGTAGCGGAGCGGAACTTGCAGTCGGTTCTCCTGTGGCGACCTCCACAGCCGATGCACTTGAGCGGAGCCGAAGAGCTTCCCTTCTGGTTCTCTTCCTTCGCGGGGTGTAGACGGTCGACTTCCTCGTCCGGATCCTCCTCGGAGTTTCGTCGGACGTCTTCCTGGTGCACGGACGCACCCTCTGCACTGTTTCTGATCGGCCGCATGTTCTTGACGGCGCCGCCTGCTGCTTCTTCTGCGGTGACTTCCCTTAAGGCGTCTTGGAAGGATAATTCTTCCTTAGCGAAAAGTCTCTGTTGTAGCTCTCGATGCCTTAACCCGCACACGAATCGGTCCCTCAGTCGTTCCTCGAGGTCCTTGAACTCGCAGGGCTTGGCGGCCTTCCGTAACGCGGCGATGTATTCCTTGGCTGACTCACCGGACCGTTGATCCCTCTGTTCGAAGGTGTGGCGCCATGAGATAACGGACACCTTGGGGTGGAAGTGCTCCTTCAGCAGCTTCTTCAGGTCTGCGTAGCTTACAGACTCTACTGGGACAGGTGCTGCAAGGTTTTCTGCGATTTCGAAGGCGTCTTGGCCGCAAACGCAAAGCAGGGTGGCAGCCTTCAAGCTATCTTCCCTCACTTGGTTTGCCTTGAAGTAGTTCTCCATTCTGGATACGTAGGACTCCCACCGCTCTGGATGTGAGACGTCGAATTCCGAAAGCCTTCCGATTTTCGCCATCTTCGGATCTTCAGGAGACGGGTCTATCAGCCAGCCTACCCCCGAATGCGCACCGGATTGGCGGGCAGCTGCCGAGTCGACGCCGTTCCTCTTCCGCCGCTCAGGACTCCTTGGGTAAGCTTACACTTCTTCCTTTCCAGGTAGTGCAAGGCATCCCATCCTCGTCGCCAGTGTTGAGTCCGTGGCGGGAAAACAGACACGAGAAGCAGCTGGAGTTCTCAGTTTCTTTTATTCAGCGTTCAGCTTACAGGAAGATGGCTTCAGCCTCGCCCAAACGCCTCGCAGCCTCTTATATAGGCAACTCCCGGGTAAATGGGTTACTTTTCCCGCGCCAGCACCCGCGCATGCGCACGGCGCTGGCGACAGCCTGTCTGGTCCCGGGCAGCTTTGCACCTGCCCGGGACTGCCTGCAAACGCCCGAGCCGTTTGCAAGGCTCAGGACATAACACTAATAAAGGCTTTTTTAGGTTAAACCATGCCTGAAAGTTCTTTGAAGTGTTTCATTAGTCAAACACATGACAGGGTGATTCTGCAAAGTATAGTTCAACAACAGAACCACTACTGACTAATTAAAAAGCATATATATTTAGCTACAATATAGTTGGTAATCTTGAATCAACTGATGCAATAACTATTGATAAAATTTATTTCATACTTTTCCTACATACATAAAATTATTCTGAAAAATAAAGAATACATATAAGTCTGCAGTGACTCAGATAAAATATTATCTGAAAGCATGAAAATTGCATATTTTGTATATGTTGTTTGTTTTCTGCACTGTTTTTTTCTAAATACAGAAGCATTGTTTTATAAAGATCTAAATTCTTTTTTTAAATTAAAAGTTAAACCCTGATTAAATAGAATTTGAAATGTTCAGCTATAAATTATAATATCATAGGAAAGCAAACAGATTCCATGATCATTTTCAATATAAAATGTCTCATCAATAAACAGCACTTTTACAATTTGTTTTACTTTGCCATTTGAAGACATCCCATTCGAAACACTAATTTATATTTTGTTCAGAAGTTACAATTAGGTCTCCTTCACTGGCCCTGTTTAAGCACCCACTAGATAGTCATCTGTCTTGGATACTTGAATTTGGATTTCTGCAGTCAATGGAGCAGAACTTGAGAGCCTAAATGACAAACTCTGTTTATGATTTTTTGTCTCAGTCATTTAATGTATGAAAACAACTTCCATCAACAATATATTCTATCCCTCTCTGTGTTACATACACATATACTCATCAGTTCCAAACAACATTTAATATTTTTTCAAGTTTACAATACAACCAGCATAAATTTTAGAAAGTAAGGTAACAACATTTTTAAATAGTATAAATAAAATTTATTACAGCAGATGTAAATGCACAATATCACATCATTAATAAAGTACTCACCATGTATAATAAGAACATACTCTGCACTGTTTAGGCCAATAGAATTTTCTGCTTCACATCTGTAAGTACCATTGTCCGTTCTATTTAGGGGATTAATGTGTAGCTCCCTACCATTGACAACCATTCTTTCTGGATCTGGTAATTCTCCACCATCCTTTGTCCATAAAACTGGATCTGGTCTATAAAAATACATGATAAACCATACTATTATTATTATTATTATTATTATTAATATTAATATAGCATACATGATATAGTTGTTAAAGTGCTGGATTTTAAGTTTTAGTCCCACCTCAGGCATGAAAGTCATCATCTGTGTGACTTTTGGCAAGTCATTCTCTCTCACTCCAATCCACCTCATAGAAGTGTTGAGGGGAGGAAAGAGTGTTAAGTTACTTGTAAAGGCAGGTTAGAAATCAACTAAATATTTATAAAAAAGGAATATATACTGAATTAACCCAACAGAGATTCTTTATGCAGCAAGTATAAGAGCAAAAAGAGAGCCATCCTGAGTAGTGGTTAAAGCACCCAGATAGAAACAAGGCACAAAGCCAGCTAGATGACCATAAGCTAGTCACTGTCAGCCATAGGATGTTTGGTAAAATGACTGCACATCTATCTTTAAGGCCAGTTGAATCTTGAAAGCTTGATAGATACAAAGCACCAATATCAATACCCTTGTTAATTGTTGAAAGCACAAGGACAGATTTCACTTATTGTTTGAATTCTGAGCATCTAAAGTTTCTCTGTCCACATGAAGACTACAGCAGGCATAATTGCTTTAATATCCAAGATTTCAGTGACAGAGGAAAATTAAAAAAAAAATGAATTACTTGGAAGAAAGATCTAATAACAGTTCAATACTCTCCGCCCCCCATTCTGATCATTTGTAGCTCTGGATTTTTCTGTGGGTCTATATGTATGATAGATCAAATTTTTGTTCCAGTCAGATTGTTCTGTAATTTATTCTAAAATTAAAAGAACTGAATATCTTTCAATGTTAGAGACTGTCTATCATTGTACAATGCATTAGGAATGTTATTTTTTCGACTAATTTTTAAAAGATTATAATTACAATAAAAATTAAAAGAAAGAGAAAAATATAAAGAAATAGTAAAAGGTGCAAAGCAAAAAATAGGAAAGACATAAGGAAAGAGAAAGGAAGGAAGGAAGAAAGGAAGGAAGGAAGGAAGGAAGGAAGGAAGGAAGGAAGGAAGGAAAGTGTCAATGCTGCAAATACTGTATATTCTTGCTTTGACAATATGCAAAACTGTTGGGCATTTATTGGGTTAATACTTAGCTTAGACTGGGCGGGGGAAAAAAGCCCGGGAAAGAAAGAGGAAGTAAACTTTTGACCTTCTCACTAATTGGATAATGTGACCTGTGACTGCATGAGAAGGGAGGGGTTGAGCAAGGAAAGCTTGATGCCAGCCACCGGAAGTTCAGATTCTGGCATCAATTAGTCCAATGTTGACCGGCATAATTTGTAGCTCTGCAAATAAAGACTTTAGGAAACATGCCTGAAAGTTCTTTGAAGTGCTTCATTAGTCGGAACTTGTGACATCATGCCAGAATCTAACACTCTTTTCAAACGATCTACGTCCCGATCTATCAACAGTAGCCTCGGGGGAGATCTCATTATGGAGAAAAAAAAATTGCCTGAAACCAGCCCCGTAGCTGCAACAGTCTCCCCGGGGGGGGGAAGCGACAGCCAGCAAGCCGGGGGAGAGAGAAATTTGGCAGATTTCCCAGCTGAGAGCGAAGACTTCAAAGGCAGAATGGACAGATAACACAGTTATGGGTGAGTCGTTGGAAAGATTTCAAAACTTAGAAATGAGAAACAGAAAACAGTCCCTACAAAGTGAAACCTTCATCCCTAAGAGAGAGAATCCCAGTTTGAATCCTCTGCAGCAAAGGGGAAATTGGGTTCCCCAGCAAGCGGCTGATCCATGTCCTCTGAACTTACCACAGCCAATAAAGGCCTTGCAATGCCTTGGGGTGGTACAGATGCCAGGAAATCAGCAGCTGGGGGGAGAACAGCCACAGCAAGGAGGTTGGCCACAGCCCCCAAACGTGCAACCCCTGGGCATAAATCTGCAGCCAGGTTGGGGCCTACAGCAACTGGGGTGGCCACAAGAGCGATGGGGAGCCCAGCAGGAAGCCTGTCAGACCCTGCCTTTGCCAGCCAGAGACCCCAACCCTGAAGAGAGGGTGAGTCCCAGTCTGAGGCATCTGCAGCAAGGGGTAGATGGGTTTCCCCGGCAGATGAATGATCAGCAGCAGCAGAGGGCACCACCACCCCCTCCAGTCCAACAACAGAGAAGACCACTACGACCCCCACTTGCGCAGCCACCATTGGGAGGCCTACAGCTGCAGGGGGTACCATCCATCCCCGCTGGCCAGCAGCCATGGAACCAGCCCCAGTGGGGGCCACAGCAGCCTGTGTTTGCACCACCCTTCAATGCAACGTTTGATGGGGACCCAGAGAAGCTGATTTTTTTCCTCACCCAAGTGCGTTCTCATCTAAATCGCTGGGCCTATCTCTATCCGGAACCAGGGGCCATGGTTGACGTCATTGGGGCCAACCTAGAGGGAGAAGCATCTGAATGGCTGAACAATCTATATAGCGAGCAAGCCCCCGAATTGGAAGATCCTCATCTCTTTCTCTTAGGACTGAGAGAACGATTTGAAGACCCATCCATCGGCCTCAAAGCAGCAGGACAAATTCACAAAATAAAACAATCGGGGAGGCCTGCCCTAGAGTACGTGCGAGAGTTCTGCAAGATGGCAGGGCGAATAGAGGGGTGGCCTGAGCAGTCCCTCATCCATCACTTCATCGAGGGATTAGATGATCACCTCTCCCAGGCTTGCATCTATCGAGAAGTACCTGATCGGCTGCAGGAGTGGTACCAGACGGCCGTGAAGCTGGATGTTAAGCTCTCTCGCTATAAAAAGCCTCCCCCACAGGAACCCGAACAGCAACCAGAGCTACCTGAACAGCAATCACCCCCACGAAAGCCTTCAACCACTGCAAGGGCTGAGAGACCCAGGCCACCTGCACGCCCTTCCTTCAAGTGTTTCCGGTGTGGACAAGGAGGACACCGAGCGGCCACCTGTCCAGTCCCCTACCCTCGACTGCAGAGCAAGCCAGGACCGGCGATGCAAAAGAAACCTGCTCAGTGGCTACCAAGAGAAAAATCTAATCGACTCACGCAAGAACCAGTCGCCCAGGTTACACCCCACACACAGGAGAATGCCAAGACTCCAGGTGGACCTGCCCCTGCCCTTCCCTTCTTTGATAGCGACGATGAAGGAGAAAACGACCCAATGGTGAGTCAACAAATCCTGCCTTTTTCACTGCCCGCCAAGCTCGTAATCCCTACGTCTGGGGCACAAATAGACTTAAACGTACTAATTGATTCGGGATGTACCCGCTGCATTATTAGTCTGGCGTTTGCCATGAAAATGGGCATAAGGGCAAAACAGCTTTCCAAACCGATGAGATTTGAGCAAGCCGATGGCTCCCTGATGGGAGGGACTCTTATTACACAAATAACTGAGCCTTTACGCCTAGAAATAGGTGCACACTGGGAGTTTATTCGTTTCCTGGTGGCTCCACAGATGACCGAGGCAGTGATCCTGGGACTAGCCTGGTTGGACAAATGGAAGCCATTTATCTGGTGGGAGAAAGGAATGAGAATTGTGAGACTACCTATAGGGCCTGATCCCCCCATTGATTCAACAGATGTTACCGGGCATCTTAGGCCACCCAATGAGCGAGCGCACCTGGCCGTCTCACTGACCCCAGGTGAACCAGTCATCCCCAAAGAATACTTGGACCTGGCGGAGGTGTTCAGTGAAAAAGAATGTGATGCCCTACCCCCTCACAGACCCAATGACTGCTCCATCGAACTGGTGCCCGGAGCCAAACTCCCACGTCCGAGGATGTATGCTATGTCCCCCCTCGAAATGGAGGAGATGCAGCGATATGTGAACAAGAACCTAGCGAGGGGGTTTATTGAACGGGCCAAATCTTCCGTGGGAGCCCCTGTGTTGTTTAAAGAGAAAAAAGATGGGTCTCTTCGTCTCTGCGTAGACTACAAGGGACTCAATGCTGTAAGTGTGGAAAATAAATACCCCCTCCCCCTCCTAAAGGATTTATTGACCCACCTGGCTAAGGGGAGTGTCTTCACTAAGTTAGACCTAAGAGAGGCATACTACCGGGTGAGAATAAAAGAGGGAGACGAGTGGAAAACTGCCTTCAACTGTCCAATGGGGAGCTATCAGTTCAAAGTCATGCCATTTGGACTACAGGGGGCCCCAGCCGTATTTATGCAGTTGATTAATGAGGTTCTACATGATCACTTGTACAAAGGGGTTTTGGTGTATCTTGATGATATCCTGATATACAGCACAAACATGAATGATCACATAAAACTAGTGAGAGAAGTGTTAAAGAAACTATTGAATGCCAAGCTTTATGTCAAATTGTCAAAATGTGAATTTCACCGAACCCAATTAGACTATCTTGGCTACCGAATTTCCAATGAGGGTATTGAAATGGATCCAGCCAAGGTAAAAACTATAATCGAATGGCAACCCCCAAGGACTCGCAAACAGCTCCAAAGCTTTCTGGGTTTTGCCAACTTTTATCGTCAATTCATCCCTTCTTTTGCCGAGATTGCCCTTCCTCTTACAGAGCTACTCAAGACAGGCAAAGGAGGAGGGAAGCCACGACCGGGCCAACCACTAGCATGGACAATGAGCTGTCAAACAGCTTTTGAGAATTTAAAGAGACTATTTGCCGCTGAACCGGTTCTAAAGCACCCCTGTCCAGGGGAACCCTTTGTGATTCAAGCCGACGCCAGCGATGTGGCGGTTGGAGCAGTGTTACTTCAAAAGAACAAAAATGGGATCCTGCAACCCTGTGCCTACACCTCTAAGAAATTCACGGAGAGCGAGCGAAGATGGGCAATCTGGGAGAAAGAGGCCTTCGCAATTAGGTGGGCGCTATTGAACTGGCGACACTATCTAGAAGGGAGCAAGGTGCCATTCGAGGTATGGACTGATCACAAGAACCTAGAGGCACTGAAAACTCCTCGCAAATTGTCACCAAAGCAAGTACGGTGGGCACAGTACTTTAACCGCTTCAACTTCACTCTAAAGTACATACCAGGAG